TGGGTTTGAGTGCATTATTTCCTTTGAAACTGGCACTAGTTGGCTTCACCCTTGTGGCTGTGGTCGCAGCACAAAAATCAAAACCAGGCTGTGATGCCAAGTGCGGGGACGTGACCATCCCATATCCCTTTGGCACAAGGGAAGGCTGCTTTTGTGCCAACAAGTCAACTCAATTTAACAAGTGATATGACATCACACAATTAGGTAATAATTTTGCTTATGGTTCACCTAAAACTTAATTTATAAATTATAATGTATAAATTTAGGTTCTTCAACAAATAAAGATTAATCAAAATAGCTCTTCAATTTCCAATTGGTAATCATTAATCAACCCCACATTGTTCAACTAGAGGTACAAGGCTAGTAACATATTATTTGAAACCAAAAATAACTTTTTTTAATGAAAAACATCCCAATAATAAGATTAAAAGAATCAAGATGAGTAAACTCAAGTAATTATATACAAATCAAAGGGAGAACATTAGATATAATATAATCATTGATCTTGGAGATCAAGAGATTCTATATAACTTCAAAATATTGAACTATTAAATTTATAATAACAAAACAGCCTTAACACTTGTGAAATAAATTAGATTAAGTAAATAAATAAAAATAATAACATTTATTGTTCAAAATTAATGAAGTGTATATTGACAAATCAATTAAAACTAATATTTTGAGGACTTTACAGAATAGATAACAAACATGGACATACAATTTATGAAAATAAATAACCAAAAGCAATTTAGGCCATGAAAACAGAGATGAATGCAAAGTCCATAAGAATAAGTAACCCAACGTAGTAAGCGATGAAAATAAATGTGCACAAGCATTATTGTCACGATCATCACAATAGTAAAATAAAGTGGTTGGAGTAGTTCATTGCTTTTAAAACTGGCACTAGTGGTGGCCGCGGCCGCCACCGTCATCGCCACCTCCGATGTGTCCCCCACCGCAGCCTGCCATAGCAAGTGCGGGGACTTGGACATCTATCCTCCCTATGGCACATCGGAAGACTGCTTTAAAGATGAAGATTTTCGTATAACCTGCAATGATCAGATCCCATATTTAGGAACAAACGAAACTTTCCAAGTCCTCAACATCTCTGGGGACACCAGTGAGCTGCTCGTCTCTGCTCTGGTTTATGAGGATTGCTATCCCAAAGAAAGCAATTACTGGGGCAGTGGTCTTCCGGTGCCTCCCAAGTTTGTCATACCTTCCGTGGGGTGTAACACCTACGCTTGCTTCTATGACCTCAAAATAAAAAGACGTATCGGCTGCAACTCGCAGTGCAGTGACTGGTCATCATCCATGGGATTTGGAAACTGCTCTGGTGGATCTGGTTGCTGTCAGACTAGTTTTGAGTAAGCTATAAGAGGTTATACGAATAATAGTTTTTTTACAATCGAGGCACTGGCATGGCCGGGGATGACTTCTTTAAGAATTGCAGTTATGCATTTTTGGCCAAGAACGGATCATTCAAACTTTCCTACGAAGAAATCGACAATCTAAGGCAAAGCAACAGATCTACAGTGGTTCTCGAGTGGGTTGTTGATGAGACGAAATCATGCGGTCGAGCCTGCAAAGCTAATGAAAGCGCATGCGAAGAATCACAAAGTGTTAGTGGTCACTTCTTCTACAAATGCAAAATAGGGCTTGAAGGCAACCCCTACCTCTCCAGCGGTTGCAAAGGTGATTATTATTGAATATATATTGCTCTCACTTCTATTTTTTTTCTTTTTTAAAAAATGATTTTATTCTTCTTTTGACAAAGCAAAAGGGATCGAGTAGTTTATGTTTAAGTTGTCTGTGGATTTGAATTGTATCAGTCTCCCAAATTTAAATCCTCTCACCCAGTAAATATTCAGGGATCAGATTGGATGAGTGTTCCAAATCCTCTAACACAACAAGTGTCTCACATGGCACTATATATAGAGATTATCATTGATTTATAATTGAATGTTTGTTGTAGATGTTATATTAAGATATAGAGAACACCAGATCATAATATATCTTTTACCATGTCTAATACTGTAATTCAATAATACATGTGACCGCAAGAAAATGATTGAAATACATCTTGATAAAAATACCTTTTAACTCACCATTTTATTCGTTTCTCTCTTCAGGCATGACTTTCAAATGTTGATAAAATTGTACAGCTACAATATAGGCACTTATTGTGTGAGACGATTTGGGACAGTTGCAGGATCCAAATCTAAGTATTCATACTGCAAGCCTGCCTCTGATTTTGACATATAGGTGGCAGTATTAATTTTTATGGAAATATAAATGTATGATTATTCTACATACAAAATATATTAAGAAACTTTGAAAAGTAAATTTTAGAGAATATTTTAATTCTATTTTCTATAGGATTGATTGTGCAATGATATCTCTACAATATAATTTCAGATGTAGATGAGTGCCGTATGAGAGACCTAAATAAATGCAAACACAGGGAACTTTGCAACAATACGTATGGAAGCTACACAAATTCTTGTCCGCAGGTGGTCAGGCTCCAGCAATGGCCTCAATAATGAAACTAAAACGGGCTCAGGCTGCAGCACTCCGGTTCACTCTGATGAGAGTTGGCGTATCATTACACTTCTTTTTGGTAAGCATACATATGAATATTAAGATCTGTTTGTCTGGCTATTTGACTTGTTCTTCTTCTTTTTCTTCCTTTTTTAAAGTAGTTTTGACAATTGGTCAATGTAGCAATGGTTAAGGAGGCCAAGAAGGCAGTGGACCTATTCTAGTCGCACTCTCCCTCTCGCTATCAATTTAAATGTTATACTCTTTCGATTAAAAAATATAAAAAAAATTTTAAAGAGTTAAATGTTTAAAAATATAAAAGATTTTGAGTCTTTTAAGATGCAATTATGGCCTTTTTTTTTCAAAAATACCTCTATTGAATATATTACTTTATTTTTTTAGGGTATTTAATATGGATAAATATGAAAAGATATGGTTAGTTTAAAGACAAATAACTATTTTATTGGGAGGTGAGATTCAATTAAAAATGTCTTATATTTTTAAACAGATAAAGTATTTAATTAATATTCTAGATTTGTCTATATATGTAATACATAAGAAACAGATATATGGATGCAAACAAAAAAAATGATAGATATAGATTTCACTTTATTTTCTTAAAAAAGATGACTAGATATTGATAATCAAAACCCTTGTTTACTTTTTTTTTTTTTAATGGCCATCTAGAAGACGAGCCAAAAGGCTTGATAACTTCTTCAAATTTTGGTCGTTTTCTAGGTCAAACTATTTTTTCGGCTCTAAACATCATAGGTTTGTATATTTATTTTTTTGGCAAATACAAATTTATTTCTTAAAAAATATTTTAATCATGATATTTTCACATAAATTTTAATTTTAAATATTTTAAAAATGAGGTCCAAATATTAATCATGTAAATTAGAAGTATTTATCGCTTACATTCTTTTAGTATAAAAGTTATTCAAAAATAGTTATTTTTTATAAAATCTAATTAAATATATATACTTAATATATTTTTATGTAATTATAAAATAAAGGCATATAAATTTAATTTATCAATAATATTAATAAAAAATAATTTGTTATATAATAAGTGACATGTAAACTGTTCACCAAGGGACGTTTATATATATATATATATATATATATGCGTGTGTGTGTAATATTCATATCTTTTGATTTAATTATAAACCAACATTATATATATATATATATATATGTTATGAATTATATAATATATAAGAAACAGATATTTCCTAATAAAAATAGATATTCACAAGAGAATATGATAATAAAATCCTACTAAAATATAAATGACAATGAAGTCAAAATATCATAATTTTTTTGAAGCCTATAGATACTTTTTTGACATTAATAATTTTAAATTAAATAACTAAATTATCCTTTGTTTAAAATAAAAAAATAATAGATTAATATGGAAAGTAATAATTTCATATTTAATTTTTATGATTTATAAAATAAACATTGTGATTGTTTAAATAAAATTTTTGATCAGTTATTTTGAGAACTTAAAATTTAATTATGAAAGAAATTTGACATGATAAGTTTTGATTTTTTGTTCACTTCTTATAATTTATAAAATAAAAATTATAATTACTTAAATAAAAATTATAATTGATTATTTTCAAAACTTAAATTTCAATAATAAAAAAAATTTTATGTGAGAAATTATTATTTTCTTGTCTAATTTTTTTGACACACGGGATGAAAATTGTAATTCTTAAATAAAAATTATAATTAAAATTAATTATTTTTAAAATTTGTCTATCAATCACAAAAAAAATTTCATATGAGAAGTTGTAACTTTTATTCAATGTTTATAATTTATAAAATAAAAATTATAATTAAAAAATAGATTCAAATCCATTATTTTTATTTTAAATAAAAAATAATTTAATTTTTAATTTAAAATTATTAATATTATAAAAATACTTAAAAATTTTAGATGAATTATAATATTTTAAAAAGCTTATTTATTATTTATATATTTTGATCAAATTTTATTATCATTTTTTTATTCAGTCAAATTCAAGTCCCTTTTTTTTAATAACCTTTTTTTTTTAAAAAATTAGTTGATAATAAAGAGAGCGAAAACTGCCCAAGGAAACAGAAGATTACAGAGTAGGCACAAAAATCTTGGGAGTATTAGGGCTGTTTGAAAACCTGTTCTTGGAGCAGTTTTTTGTTCTCTAGAACAAAAAAATAAAAAAATTTGTTTGTTAACATATTTTTAAAAAGTGTTTTAAAAAACAAAAAAATAAAATATTATTTTAGAGAATAGAAAAATAAAAATAACTTTTAAGTGTTATGTGATTATTATTCTGAAGAACAAGAGAGAATGAAAAAAATATCTATTTTCATTATTTTTTATTCTCCTATATTTTATAACTTTTAAAATAATAAAATAAAAATAATTTCAAACAACCCTTGATCTTAATCAAGTAACGGCCTCCTCCAAAATCGCAAGAGGCTATAGAATCGTAAAACCTAGAAACCCAGACGATCCAGCAAGCTTATCGGCCACAATGCTGCGGACATAATCGTGATAGCCTGCATTGAAGCGTTCGAATCGTTGTTGAGAGAGCAGAGATGGTTCATGGAGTCAACTGAATTGCTCGCATTTGATTCATCGTGCCGCTAATATCGTTTGGTTGAACTCTTCACTCTTCCCAATTCTCTATTTCATCGATCCAGATACCTCATTCTTCCCAATTCAATTCCTTAAACACCACTCCGCTGCATATGACGTTGCCTTTCTCGAAAGGTGTCGACTTTGTTTCATTCCAACGTTATTGCGCTTCTGGTATGTCGTTTTTCTCCAACTGTTTCGGTGGTGAAAAGCCCTGATCGACCATCTTTTATTGCACTTCTGGTATGTGGTTCTTTTTTTTTTTTTTAATTAGGTTTTCTTGTTCTTGAATTCGAACACGGGTTTTGGGTTTAGGAGCAATGGCTATCGCGGCCCCTGGGCAGCTGAACCTTAATGAGTATCTTCATAGGGAAGTGTTGATTGCTTCAAAATGTTGGAGCAGATTGGCGAGGGAACTTATGGGTTAGTTTTAATTTTTTTTTTTTTCTGTTTCCTTCATGCAGTATCACTGTACTCGTTAATTGCTATTTCTGTTTCTTAGTTTTGCAATGCTTCATAGTTAAATTTTTTAAGCATCTGTTATTTTGCTTTTGCTTTCTTTATGTAGGTGTGATGTGTTTATGGTTGTCGGCAACAGCTTATGTTTGATCATAATATCGTTTTTCTTATTTCTTTGGTGACTTACATGGGGGCTGATAAATGTATATTGTTTAAACTTCAACTTATCAGACGCTTAGTCATTTGTGGATCATAGTGGCTAAACTTTCTTAGTTAGCTGGTAACTGTCGCTGTATATTTGTCTATTATGTTGTTCAGTGTAGAAGCTCTAGCCTCAGTTTACATGCCACATGACAGCACTGACAGGACTTCCTGCATAATGAATAATGATAGTGAAGAAACGCAACCAGTGAAACAAAAAGTCTGCACTGGCAGTTCATAGTTTGTTAACAATATATCCAAAGATTTTGTTGCTGATAGAGTATAATAGTGTTGGGCAATCCATGTAGCCTACCCACCTAGGCTTGTGGTTGTTGTTGGCAGTTCATAGTTTGCCAAAGTCTTGCCATAAATCTATTTATAAGTGGTGAAAGATCAAGCTTTTGCCTTTTTAATGAGAAGACCAGATAGGATTTTATGGCCAACCAATAAAACTTTGTGAAACCTTAAAAAATTTGTCTGTACTCTTTAGAACTGTCTTTGACCCCTGCTATAACTTATCAAGCACCTTAATAAACTATGTTAATCTAATTGTCCTTTGCCCTTCACCACCTTCAAATGAGCTTTTATAATGGTTTGGCCTTTGCTGTGAGTTCTCAAGAGAGCTTTAGATGTTGGACCTTAGAAATTTGGCTAAAGTCAGGCCATTAGCCCAACCCAAATTGGCCTTTGCTGTGAGTTCTCAACAGCGCTTTAGGTGCGGGACCTTTGAAATTTGGCAAAAGTCAGGCCCTTATCCCAACCCAAAATCAGGTCTGTTTGTGATGTTTTGCCTTTGTACTTGAGGACTGCATTCACTTCGCAAATTTTATTTTGTTGCTGGATGGGGTGTTTGACTACTTGATAATTTAAGACGTTTCTAGATGAGTTTTGTTGTCCAATGCATTCACCATCTTAACTTATGAATCAGATTTATTATCTTCAGCATTTTGTCTATATTACAAGGATACATATGTAATATTATTATATTTCAAGCTATTTTTTAGTTGTCATTAAACCTTATAGTTTGATATGTTTTATGATTCGTTATTAAGACATGTGCTTTCCGATTCACAATACTTATCATCATTGGACTCCTATAGAATTGGTATAAGTGTATGCAACCAGTTCTGTATGCAATTTTGCAATAGCTTTCTTAAATATAGGGGAGGGAGAATAGCCACAATCCTTGGGCAGGGTTCACGGTAGAAGTTCTATATTAAGTATTTTGATTTAAGTTCTTTTCTTTCTAAAAGGTGTAGAATAACCCCTTGAAGAGTAATGATTATACGTGTGCAATACATCATATGTCCCATAATAGATTCCAACTTATTATGATTCAAGAAATTTTTGAAAAAATTACAAGAAACAGCATGAGAAAATCACAAGATAGAGCAAAAGAATATTACCAAAAAGAACACAATTTTTCTATAATCTAAAACCAAATTTTTGCTTATAAAAATTTAAACTTTGGATCCTCAATAAAATTTCTTGCTTAAATTTCTATAAACTATCAATTTCTACTTGCTATGAAATTTATTTAAATAAAATATCCATTGAAAAAATTTTGTTTGATTTAAAATTTAGGGTCATTGTAGAATAGAATTCTTTCAATATTATTAAATATTTTTATTGCAAATTTCTTGTAGAAATTTTGATAAAATCTTTATTATAAATAGAATCTCTAAGAAAAAAATATCTATAAGTCAACTCAATTTAATCAAAGAAGAGCCTTGGTCCATGCCAACAAGTCACACGGCATCACACAATTAGGTAATGATTCTACTTATGGTTTATGTGGAGAACCTAGAACTTAATTTATAAATTATAATGTATAAATTTAGGTTCTACAACAAATAAAGATTAATCAAAATAGCTCTTCAATTTCCAATTGGTAATCATTAATCAACCCCACATTGTTCAACTAGAGGTACAAGGCTAGTAACATATTATTTGAAACCAAAAATAAATTTTTTTAATGAAAAACATCCCAATAATAAAATTAAAAGAATCAAGATGAGTAAATTCAAGTAATTATATACAAATCAAAGGGAGAACATTAGACATAATATAATCATTGATCTTAGAGATCAAGAGATTCTATATAACTTCAAAATATTGAACTATTAAATTTATAATAACAAAACAGCCTTAACACTTGTGAAATAAAATAAATTAAGTAAATAAATAAAAATAGTAACATTTATTGTTTAAAATTAATGAAGTGTATATTGACAAATCATTTAAAACTAATATTTTGAGGATTTTGTATTATAGGTAACAAGTATAGACATACAATTCACGAGGATAAATAACTAAAAGTAGTTTAGGCTACGAAAACAAAGATGGATGCATAGTTCATGAAGATAAGTAACCCAACGTAGTAAGTGATGAAAATAAATGTGGATATACAGTTCACAAAGGTAATAGTAACCAAATATGACTCGAAGCCTTGAAATCAAACACAGGTATGAAACCCACAAATAACAAATGTGGTTGTGATGCTCACAAAAGTCAAACTAGCTAGTTATAACTGTGGCGTGCTAAGGATTAATAGAACTATCATTAACAATTAGTGTTCTACGTATAATCTTTTTGAAATTCACTTTCAAACATGCAACAAAGATAATCACTATTAAAAGTATAATTATCTTTTCTCAATATCAAACTCGCATGAATCATTTAAAACATCAGTCTTTCTCAATATGAAAATTCATAATTATCCCATGGATAATTTCCATGATTGTCAATGTTTATCAAATAAAAGATTATTGAAACTTGTAAAAACATTTTCTTGAATCTAAAGAGTATGTTTTGCATGAGAATTTGTAATATTGTCTGTGCCTTAATTCACTAATGCCCAAATATTATTATTTCTTTTATACACTTTATAAATCCAAAATTCTTCAGTTCAACAAATTTAGAGAATTGAAAAGGAAAATCTCAACATCAACCTTTCACAAATAAAATGCTATATTGAGTATAATCAATAAGTCTTTAACAAACATCTATATAAACAACACTCAAAAGTTTCCAAATCTGCTTATTGAAAATAAAAAACTTCTATTATGATATAATTAATATTATCAATCATGTATATTTAATTTTCATAAACTTCATTCCTCAAACATTTTATCAAGCACTCTATTTGAACTCAAAAGCTAACAAAAGGACCAACAAACTTTGTTCTTGAGTTATTGACCTCCAAAATTTTCTAACGACATTTTCATCCTTGTATTACAGAGAATAATTACCTATTATAACAATATACCCGACAATAATACACTTATCCCATTCATTTGCTATCAAAAACTAACTTCCTCCAATCAAACAATTCATCAAATACCTTATGTGTATTCAAACTTAAATCATACAATAACCATCTTATTCTTTAAATATATTTCCCAAAAGTTTTCTAAACATCTATATAAATTTACCAGACTTTTCAAATTCATTCCTTCAACTAAAATCAATTTAAACTCAAAGAAATACCAAATCTAAACACATATTCATCATTCAGTGGCCACCAAAAAAATATAATATAGTTACCTGCCAAAAGTGAAATTCTTAATCTTCAATTTAAGCTTGTTAGAACATTCAATAGTGAAGCAAAATTTCAAAATTTCAGCAATAATTCCTAATCAAAATTTTAGCAATTCCCCAATCACAATACATACCCAAATTTAACGAGGAAGAGAGTGGAAGTTGGCTCATACCACTGAAGCAAAGAGGCAAGAAGGGAGGAGATCTAAGGCCCCTCCACCAAAATTGCAGTGACGGAACATGAAGATGATTACTAATCTTTCTTATTACATCTACTTCAAAATTTATAAAAATACACTCAATTTTTTTATATTTCTGAGTTATTACAGACATCGCTAGGCAAAGTTTTCAAATATCTAAATATTTGTTGTTATATATTTTCCTCTTGCTAGTAAAATGACTGGTCTTCTTATCCCCAGGCCCTGAGAAAGACGAGCATGGGAAGCCAGGCGTCCATTTTCACTATTAGCTAATCACTTCATTAACAATTAGCACAGCAGTGCCTTATTTGCTCTATGATCATTCTACTGTGAAGATAATTCTGTCAAATTCCTTTTAGTTTCTTTGTCCAAGGAATCTTACCTTGTCTGTATTTTTCTTTGTGCTGGAGATTACAGATGGTAACAAATATAAAGATGGTATCTATATGGTATTTGAATACAAGGACCATGATTTGATTGATCTTGCAGATCGACCTGGAATGAGATTTACAGCTCCAAAGCAAGGTATGGCTGCAAATGTTGTTTAAATCAAATATCTGTGGTAGTAATTCATTTAAACACTAACTCGCTTCTTCTTGCTTAACTGTTACATGAGACAGCTTTTGACGGGGCTTCATTATTGCCATGTGAATCAAGTACTTCATCGTGATATAAAAGGTTCGTGTAAAGCTAGATTTCGTCTCTAGAAGCTTATGTATTTTATTTTTTGGTCTTAAATGATATGCCTATTTCATGTATTTTGTTCTGATGCAGGCTCCAATCTTCTTATAGACAATGAAGGCAATCTGAAGCTTGTAGATTTTGGACTTTCACAATCATTTTCTAAAGACCACAATGCAAATCACCTCCTAGAAGCTCCCAAAACAAATCCTAGTAGTCCCAATGTTGTGCTCCCTCAAGTTCTCCCGTTTTCTTCCTATCTGTTCAGCCCCCGATCATGTTTGATTTAACTAAACTTTGCATTGTCTGTTGTGACGCATAGTGCATTTGTTGTGGCAGATGGTATAGAGGCCCAACTCATGATTTAGGTCCTTCACTTGGGCTCAGTCGGCCAAATATCCATCATAGCCCAATCTTAAGGTTGTCTAACATTCCAATAAGTCCATTAGTGATTCAAAAGCATGATTAACTTAACTAATAACCAATTTTCTAATTTACCTTCAATTATCTCATAAATCTCAGATTAAAATTTTTTGAGATATTACATATATCATTCGTCGAATGCCTAATTTTGGTGTGGAATAGTGAATGAGCAGGGGACTTGATCAGTGAGCCTCTCATTTTTGTTGTATCTGTGAAACTTCATCTTCAAACGCTCGATATTTAATGACTTGGCTGAGCCGTCCAATTAGCAAGTCTCATCATCAATGGCTAGCTCCCTCAGTAATTGAAGATAGAGACATGAGCCTGCGTACAATATAATAATAGAGATATTTCCTTTGATCTTATTATAAGATAGATAGAGAAGATGTTTTTTTATTATATTTATGAGTCACATTATTAAATATTTATCATAAATTTCTCTTTTTATCTTCCATTAAATTTTGGTGAGAAAAACACCATTAAAATGTGTATATTTAAAGGATTAAAATTAAAAATTTATTAAATTTTTAAACAGAGTTAATGAATTTTAAGATTTTTGTTGATAGTAAAGCATATTAAAAGTAATTTACAAATAGGATAAAGAAGAGTACTATTCAATGCAAATCACTCCTAGAGCAGGTGATAAGATATTTATATCTCTTAAACCAAATCTTAAGAGTTCAAATCTTATTAATAAAAAAATCATGCTTTAAAATATTTTGCGTATGATCAAGGCTTGAATTGACTATAATTTAAGTAAGTTGTACCAGATACTTAATGCTTTGTCATCAAAATAACCAAAATAAAGTATCAATAATACTCAGACAAAGAAAATGAGCCCATGTAATAGAAATATTGCTTTAATACTAATAGGGGTTGGAGTGAATCATAAGAAACTTATCATCTCTTAACTGAACTCTTTTTGTTTAAGTCTTACCAATAAAATCTTAAAAAATAAAAAAAATATTAGAATCCCTCTAATGATAAAAAACTTTATAATAGCAATCTATTAAGAGTATTAATTCTACAACAACGTGATGATGATGATAGTCGTCCAACTCTTTCAGGCCACAGATTGGCTAGCAGGAGAAATGTTTTAAGGTGATGAAAATTTTTCTTCTCATGAAGGAAGAAGAGACAAGAGTGGAAATATTCCAAAAGACTCTCATGACTTGTCCAAGTCTTCTCTTAAAATCATAACATTTCATTTTATTAAATTCTACAAAGTGAAATTAGATGATTGCAGGTCTCTAGACACTCACCAAATTCAAATCTGAATAGAATGGTGGCAGTGTTTTAAGAACCAGATGGTTGAACCAATTAGAACCACGAATGGAATTATTAACTCAGTTTGAACCAAAAAATCATTTTCCTAGCTAACATTATATTGGGTGATGAAATTGCAATTCCTCATTACATTCCTAGATAATTTGACCTTTTAGGGAGGAATAAAAAATTCCTCTCGCTAAATCATATTTTTCCAATGTTAATTAAAATCATGCGGTGCTATGGAAAAACCACAAAACCACTCCTCCAAATATGTAATATAATATTAAATAAGATCGGAAAGGAAAGAGTATGTGTAGTCTTGCAAGCTTGTACATTATTCTTGTGTGGCTTAATCACTTCTCCAAATGTCTTGCAAGCTTAACCTAATGGGCATAAATCGACAGAGACTTGAATCCTTATATGTAAGGTGGCTAGTTCATACAGACTTGCATTATTGTCAGCTTCTGAAGAAGCAAAAACAAACATGCACACCACATTGACAGGAATTGAATAGGGTCTGCAAAAGATGTTAATAATTGACACCGTAATGAATTAGATTAAAATCCTTGTTAATTAAAAAAAACACTTATATTTAATACTTGACTATGTATCGAACAAGATGAACTAGGTTTGAATCCTTCACTTCTAACCCTTGATTTATCTCTCTATCTCTTCTATGATCCCTGACCATAGCATTTTTTATTAAAAAAAATGATAAAAATATATAGGTTTGATTGAAAGCTTATACAATGATTAGGAAAGAATTTTTTTTTCCCTTTGGATTTTCAAAAAGAAACTCCTCCCATATAAGAGGAAATAGGTGGAAAAGAACAAGAAAGAGATGAGTATAAATTTTAAAAACTTTCTATGTCAGTTTTTGCCTTTAAAGAGATGATTCACTGTTTTAAAAAATTTAAAGAAAGAGCTTATATTTAATGTTTAATTGTACCTCAAAAGGATTGTTTATGATAAAAAGACATTGTACGCAATAAAAAGAATCAAAAGAAAAACTAGCGGTGCTCCTATATGATATTTTTTGTTCATAAGACCTAAGTTTAGATTTACTTTAGTGCTTTTTCTTGACGTATTTCAGGAGTAACATATTAAAATTTAATTACTATAGTGAACCTATACCTCTCACAATTTTTTATGAATACATGAAAAATAATAATATGAATCTATATATATAATAAAGTGCATCAAAGTACTGTTTACTACAGTTGAATAAACAGTAATATGATGTTTTATTTTTAAAAATTACTGTGATGTTTTTTTTTTAAATTTAACCTTTGCATATTAATAGTTCATGTGGGATCCACAGCAAAAATTAAAAAATAGGTGCATAGTAAAAATGCTTATAGATATGAGACTAATAATAAAAATAATATGTATGAGTTCTAATATTTTTTAATGTAGGAGATTTATCACTTGTTGCTTGTATTTTGTATATGTATAAGATAATTAATTGTATATAACATATAAATTTAAATAATAAATTATAAAAAAGAATATGAGCAAATTTTAATCAATTCACACAATTTAAAAAAATTAGTTAATCCTAATAATTATATTTGAAATTGAAAAGTTTGAATTAAGATGTATTTGTGATTAACAATATTTTATTTTCCTCTAATTTAATGATACTATAACTTAATGAAGAGTAATTAAGGAAAGATGTCATAAATATTTTTGAAATTTATTGTTTTTCTTGTAAAAAAATAACAACAAACCATGTGAAAATTTTACTTATATTTAAAAATGGGGGAAATATCTAGTAAAATTTGTCAATGGATTACAATAAAACTACAATGGTTTTATGAGATACATCAGATTGGATTTAATGATTGTAACAAATCTTATCACTTAATAAGTATCACATGTAGCACAATAACAATTATTCAATTTAATTGAATTGTTATAAGATATTTTGTCATAAAGTACTAAAAAAACTATCAAATCTTAAATTTTTAAAGGGAACAATGAATATAAGGAGTCTTTTTATCATGAGAGTTATTTTAAAATTTTATAAGAAAATACATGTTGATAATTTTTAAGTATTAATGTTATTCAATTGTATAATGATATACTCATTCAATGAACATATTTAGATCATTTAGTGAACTCAAATTTAAGATAAATCACAATAGTTCTACAGTGATCCAACTATTTTAAAAAATTTAAAATCAAATTTGAAATGCCTTTGGCCAAATAAAATTAGAATGAGCTACCCTTCAGATAAGAAATATTAAATCATCAATAAAAATAAATTTGAAGTAAGCTTAATTAATAAGATAAGAAATATTAGTTCCGTGTGAAACAATTTGATATATCCCTGAAGTACATAACATATAAACTACTTATATATATAAAAAAAAATCTAACTAATTTAATATGTACAATATAATTTATTACCATAAACATTATGAATATGGCATCCTAAAAACATGCACGGGAAAAAAATCTAGTTAAATACTCATAGGTTGTAGTTAGTCATCAAAAGTTGTGATCGTTGGAATTTTGTCATGCACTTGATTATAAATGTTAGGCCGTGGAATGCAAGTTGAAATATCAACATCAGAGAATTTATTTTTGTCATGCATTAATACAAGCAAGTCTTCGCAAACGTCTCCAATGAGAAGTTGAAGACACAGAGGTAAGATTTGAATTTTGATGAGTGACCAAAATGTACTCGCACAATTATTTTCATTATCTTCCATTTAAAAGCAATAACAATATATTTTGAAATCATTTTTTAGCATAATACCTGTACAAATGAGTAATTAAAAAAATGGAGAATGGAAATTAAATAGACCCTTTAATATCCTTAAGCAAAGTCTCAAATTCAATTGTTATTAATTAAAAAAATTATGTTGGAAAATATTGTTTCCCCAATTAAGGCTGGACCATGATTCGGATATAAAGTAATCGGTTATGGGATACTCAATAGTTGTCATCAAAATTTAATTTTTTTGTTTGGTGAAGAAAAGTTTAATTAGATGAGTTGAATCATAGAGATTGAGGGCGTGTTAGGTGCCTGTTGTCATATTTTTTTTTAAGAGAAACTTGTTTTATAATATTGGTTTTAGAATTATTTTTAAAACAAAACAAAATAAAAATCTATTTGGTTATGTTAATTTAAAAATAATTTTAGAATTAATAAAATATGTTTACAGTAGGCAATTAATGATAGTGGCTTATGATATAAATTGATCAAGCTAATTATATTTTTAATAATTAAATATAATTTGTTTTGAAAACAAGAAAAATAAAATAAAAATAATTTTAAGATATTTCTATTATTTCCTTGTAAAAAAATGAGAATATTTTTAAAAATATTAAATTCAAAACATTTATTAAAATTGACTTTTTTATTTTTTTTTGTTTTTAAAAATAAAAAATAATTTTTGAAAATAGAAATCAAACCGGCCATTACTAGCATCAAAGTTTGCCTCCGACCCCAAAGAACAAAATATTATTGGTTTTAACACCATGACAAATTACAATGATAGAAAATTAAAATTTTAATATATTGTCTGAAAATAGGAGTCTAAAATAATTATAAAAAAATCCAAATTAATTTCAGAATTATATGCTGATGGATGGTCCCAACTCATTATCAGATGGGGCCACAGTACCACACGTCCAAAGACTTGGACTGAGTCCTCTCTCATACGTGTAACCCAGCTCATTCCTTGTCGCGTTATTGGTCAAAGTCTCTCATTTGATTATTTGTTTTTATAACGGTTTTTTATTTTGAAAATTAAGAAAATAAAAAAACTTGCTTTAAAATATGTTTTAATGTTCTTTTTTATGAAAAATAAAAAAATTAAAATTTATTTTAAAGAACTAAAAAACCAGAACATCTTTTAAATGTTTTATTATTATTTTTTTTACAAAACTAGAAAAGAGACAGAAAATATTAAGCTTGTTTATTTCTATTTTCTGTTTTTATTTTTTAAAAAAAATTCTATAAAATATTTTTCCAGGAAAATTTTTGAAAAAAATTAAAAAATGTTTAAATTATTATTTTGAAAAATATATCAAATGGTAAAACAGAAAATATGAAAGAATATTTTATTTTATTAATATAATTATCATTAATAAAAACATGATATTTTCTGCATTTCTTCAAATTTTGTAGTACAAAAAGTAACAACGGTTTTTTAGTTTTTTAAAATAACTTTCGACATTTTTTTTAAAAATAAATAATAGAAAGCATATTTTTAAATAGGTTTTCTTTTGCTTTTTCAGAAAAAAAAAAAATCTGTTCTGAAAAAGGTGGTCAAACAAGGCCGTCATACTTTCATTAATGATAATTATATTAATGAAATAAACGATTCTTTCACCATTTATTTCACCAATATATATTTTTCAAAATAATAATTGAAATTGATTTTTTTTATTTCTTATTTCCAAAATTTATTCTGAGAATTGTTCTGCATGTTCTCCATCTTTAATGACTTGTGGTGGAGCCACGAAAATGCAATCCAAGTCTTCGTCAACATCTTATTAAATAAGTAATCATCAACTTTGCTGATCATCAGAATGCACTGCATTATCACAATCAAGTCTTCGTCAACCATGGGCTTGAGTGTATTGTTTTTTATCAAACTGTCATTAGTAGCCTTCACACTGGCATCGCCGGAGCCGGCCCCAGCAGCCTCCAAGAAAGCGGGCTGCGATACCATGTGCGCGGACGTGAAAATCTCTTATCCTTTCGGCACAACCGAAGACTGCTTCAAAGATCCTGATTTTCTGATAACTTGCAACACTTCCTCTGGATTCCCCGTTCCTTATCTAGGAACAAAAACCACTATCCAAGTTCTCAACATCTCTGGGGTGACCAGTGAGCTACTCGTCTTCACTCCAGTTTATCATCATTGCTACAACCCCGAAGAAGGCATTTATTGGAGAAAAGGCTTTCGTGCGCCTCCCAAGTTCGCCATATCCAATAAAAAGAACGATTTCGTCGTCGTCGGGCGTAACACCTACGCTTTCCTCTACGACATTGAAGAAAAAAGACTCATCGGCTGCAACTCAGAGTGTAGTTACGACGAATCCGTGACAAAAGGATCCTGCTCCGGCTCCGGCTGCTGCCGGACTAATTTTGGGCAACCTATTAGAAATTATACTAACAGTATTTTCTTTTACGGTGACCGAAACGTGTTAGACGGCGTCTTGTTTAATTGCAGTCATGCTTTTTTTGCCAAGAACGGAACTTTCAACTTTTCCGACGAAGACTTTGACGATCTAGTCCGACTTGAAAGATCTACGGTGGTACTGGATTGGGGTGTTGATGAGACGAAATCATGCGGTGGAGCCTGCAAAGATGATGAAAGTATATGCGAAGAATCACAAAGTGTCAAAGGCTACTACCTCTGCAAATGTAAACCAGGGTTTGAAGGCAACCCCTACGTCTCCGGTGGCTGCAAAGGTGATTATAGAATCTTATTCCCACTTTGATTTGTTTTTCATCTAATATCCTATTTATGAAACTTTCTAACTCATTAAATAACCCCCCTAAATAATTATTTTTATTAAGGGTAATTTTTAAATTTTACAATAAATATTCTTTTGATCTAAAATATATGACATGTTTTTACTGGCTAGTGTTGAATTAAAATGTATATTATTTTGCAAAAAGCCAATATTCTTGGATGGGAAAATCACTAGCTCTAGAGTTCCTTATAAGCATTCTACGTGTCCAAAAGTTCTACAATTGTACAAATGGTTGGGAGGTTTGAAAGACGTGGCTGTAAATAATATTTTTTGTGAATTGGGCTCACTAGCTCCTTCGATTCCCTTGAACCCCCACTCTTTGATTCCCTTCCTCCTCCTCCTTCCAAGATCTTGCCCATCCTGCTGGTGAAGATCGATGACGCCCAAGAATTAGGGCTTCAAGCTCTACCCTTTGTTGGGATTTGATGATGGAGGAAGAGAGGGACTAAATTGAAAATATACTTTTATTAATTGCTCAAATTATACTTTACGCAAACAATTATAATTTCTTTCGCAATTGTCTCTCACTCCTTCTCTCTTTCTCACTTTTTCACCGACACTTTCACACCTCTCCCCTTTCTCTCACCCACGCCCACATCGGTCTCTCTCTCTCTCTCTCTCACCACACACACGCACGCACGCACGCACGCACGCACTTCGCTTTCCTTCTCTCTTGTCTCCGCGACACACCGCACCCACACAAATGACACTCGCATGTTTATGCTACTTCAATGTCAGTGGAGTTTTTCTCCACAGCCTTCTTGATGTCTCTTCTTTCACCGCCATAACCAAAAATATGCTAGAAACTAAATATTTTAATTATAACCTAAAAAATTCTAGAGAGAGGGAGAGAGTTAGTTGGTGACATTTTAACATTCTCCCTCAACGACGACTCTAACTCTGTCATTTCACATTGCCTCTTATTTTCTTCAATCTCTTGAACAGTTTCATAAACTTGTCAAAGTCAACTTTATCTCGTTGAGGAGACTCGTATGTGGCCGACGTCACTTTGTGCTTCAAACCATGCTTTTTGATTCTTCATCTTGGTGGTAATTGACATTCTTGATATTTGGTTTCAATATCTTCACATACCTTACGGTGGCAGTGTTTGATCATGTTCTTTATCTTCTTTCTCTTCGTTTTCATATTTTCCCTTGATTGAACTTCGAACACCAAAACATGATTCTATTACTTTCTCCAAATTGAGATCCTTCAGATTGTCCTCGTTCTTATCTGCATCTTTGTCCTCATTCACTTTAACGTTCTCTTCCCTAATTTAATCCACTTCTCTTGTGATGCAGAGCGCTAATATATCTTCTTCACTGAAATCTGCTGTCACTATCTCTTCTTCAATGGCACTTGTTGAAGCTTGAAAATCCCATTCTTTCTTGCTTTCATTCTTGTTGTTGGAGGTGACAACATTTCTTTCGACCCTTTTATGCCAATAGTCTCGAGCAAAGTGGGCAATCTTCCCACAATTATAACATTGACCTTTCTTTTAATGATTTTTCCTCTCTTCAAGCTTGTCTCAATCTTCACAAGCTTCCCCTTGATGTGAGCTTCTGTTGTGACATCTTTTGGGCCAACCATTTTGTTGCCTTCTATCATCTCATTCTTTTTTGAGTTAGAATCCTCTCGATGATCTCTCTTTTTACAAAAGAGAGTCTTTTCCTCATCTTTCATAAAAATTTTGGACATTTATGTATCCAAAGCTTCCTAATTAGCTAAGATAGTTTCCAACTCGGCTAAAGTTGGTTCCTTGGACCAACCTCTTGTTGTTGTAACTAGGCCATGGTATTTTGGATTTAACCTCGTAATAATAATTCTCCTCATTTGCTTGTCGGTGATGGGGTTCCTTAGATCTAAGTTTGAAATCTCATTGCAAATAGATTTATTTTTTGAAAAATACTCCCTTATCTACATATTATTTTGTCGAATTGAGGCAAGCTCATTCTTTAAGAACTACAACTTTGCTTCATTTTCTCTTACAAACAATGAGGCTAACGTATCCCATGCTTCCTTTGACATCGTCATTTCTTTGACATATCTAAAAAACTGTGGCTCAATAGTAATAGCCAGTATGTAAAGAGCTTTCTTAGTCCTTACCTACCACTTCTTCAATTCACTTGGATTTGTTAGGAGCGTAGCATCATCTCCGTTGATGAGATCTCAAAGATTTTGACCTTCAAGGTAGAACTTGACTATTATACTCCACACTTGATAATTTTTATTGTTTACCTTCTCTACCAAACAAACATTCTCCATCATGTCTGCCATAGTGAGCTCGGTAGTACCCTACACTTCACAGTCTTGGACTACACACTAGCAGACCCTTGAGCAAATCTAGACTCCTAGAGTCTTTTGCCTTAATACTCAAACTCTACCAACCACTCCCAAGTCTCGAGCAGCCCAGCGGTGCTTCAACAACTCTGGTCTTGATTCGGCTTTAATACCAAATGTTAGGATTTGAGGGTGGAGGAAGAGAGAGATTCAACTGAAAGTATGCCTTTATTAATTACTCAAACTACAATTTATACAAACACTTATATTTTTTTTCTCTCGTAATTTTCTCTCACTCCTTTTCTCTTTCTCACTTTCTCAGACGCTTTCACACCCTTCTCCTTTCTCTCACTCACGTCACGCACTTTCTCTTTTCTCCCTCTCTCTGTTCTTCACTCACACACACATTGCTTTCTTTCTCTCTTCTCTCCGCCGCACAACGCACATTTATCGGTAGAGTATTTCTCCATATCCTTCTCGATGTCTCTTCTTTCACCTTCATAACCAAGAATACACTAGAAACTAAATATTTTAATATAATTTAAAAAATTCATTTCTCATAACTCACTCAATGAATTCACAAATATTTTAGAGATGCGTTTTGACATTTTTATTTAATAAAAATTCATATCTCATGACTCAAACTCAAGGCACCAAATAAATTGGATCACCACACTAATTAAATTGTTATTAGGTGCCCATGCAAAGGACAGAAGATATAGCATGGTCCACATGGATATTTTATATATGATTAATTGTGCTACGATGCCTATATAATTTCAGATGTGGATGAGTGCCATAGCATCAATAATTGCACGGCTTCGGCAGTTTGCACCAATTATTATGGTGGCTACACCTGTACTTGCCCAACTGGACAAAAAGGTAATGGCCTCAAAAACGAAACTGGACCGGGTTCGGACTGCAGCATTCTGGATCCGGATTCTAATCAGGATTGGCGCGTCATTACAATTTCATTAGGTAAGCATCTACGAATATTGCATAAATATATGAAATACATTAAGTTGGCAACTATATCACGACATTATCTCGTTTCTTTATTTATACGTTGCACAAATGCACTTTCACATTTTAAATATAAGCTCATGCTATATAATATAGTCATCTTATAAATTATGAAAACATTGCAAGTTAAGATTTGCTCGAGCAAAATAAGTATTTAATTTTTTCCTCAATTTAATTTTTTAGGACAGCCAAATGTTAATCATGAAGTTTTTTCGCTTCTTTAGTTTATCTACGTGGAAAACAACTTGGGTGTCTTTCCCTTAAATTAAATTGAAAACATAAAAAAATTAAAAATGAAAATAAAAAATTATACCAAATAGATTTTAGTTACCAATTTTAAAAATAAAATATTTTTTAAAAAATATTTCAATGTTTTTTAAACTAATCAAATAGTAATTTGTCTTAACTGTATCATGTTGTCAAAAAGTCTCGCCACCATCCTCAAATTACAGTTAATTATTTCTTCTTCATGGCCTGTTTGATTTGTTTATTAGGACTTGGCGTTGGAGAGAATAATTAAAAATGAAAAGAGCATTTGCATCTTCACATATGTTTAAGTCAAAACTCGAAACATTTTTTCTACAATAAAATCTCATTTTGAGCACTATTGCTTGTAGTTGTTGCTGTAGCTTTGTTGGTTGTCTTCACACTGCTCTTTGCATTATGTTGGGCACAAAAGCAAAGAAGTTTGAGACAACTAAGAGAAAGAAATTTTGAGCAAAATGGAGGAAACTTGCTTCTCCAACAATTTTCTCAACGACAAGGATATACTGAAAGGGCCAAGATCTTTACAGAAAATGAGCTTAAGAATGCCACAAATAACTTTGATGAAAGTAGGATTCTTGGTCGTGGAGGACAAGGCACGGTTTATAAGGGTATGTTGCCAAACAACACACCTGTTGCCATTAAAAAGTCTAGAGTTGGAGGGGATCCCCAAAATATTAAAAGTTTTATTAATGAAGTATTTGTTCTTTCCCAGATCAACCATCGAAATGTGGTCAAACTTTTAGGATGTTGTCTTGAAACTGAAGTGCCTTTATTAGTTTATGAGTTTATAGACAATGGCACCCTTCTTGACCACCTAAGCCCATCAAAGAAAGATTGTTCTATTACATGGGAGACTCGGTTAAGAATAGCTGTAGAGACTGCAGAGGCCATTTCATATTTACACTCTACTGCTTCTATTCCAATTATCCATCGAGATATTAAATCTGCAAACATACTATTAGATCATGACAACAGAGCAAAGGTGTCTGATTTTGGAGCTTCAAGACTAGTCCATCTTGATGAAGCTCAAGTTGCCACTGTGATCCAAGGAACAATAGGATACTTAGATCCAGAATACCTCCAAACTGGCCAAATGAATGAAAAGAGCGATGTTTATAGTTTTGGGATTGTGCTTATAGAATTACTCACTGGGAAAAGAGCATTTAAATTCAATAATGCAATGGCCAGTCACTTCATGTCTTCAATGAGAGAAGACCGCTTGTGGGAAATTCTTGATAAGCAAGTGCTAGATGAAAAGAAGAATGCAAAACAATTGAAGGAAGGAGCCTTATTGGCACAAAGATGCATCAGAGTTAATGGAGAGGAAAGGCCAACAATGAAGGAAGTAGCAATGGAATTACAGGGCCTGATAGTAATGGAAAAACATGTTCAAGGGAAGGACAAGGATATGATGGTTGAAGAAAGTGAACACTTACTTGATCATTTTCCTAATGATGGATATGAGAGTGCTAGTGCAAGTACATTAGTTACCAGCTATGATAGCACTCAAAAGCAAGTTGTCTTTGAGATCATAGATAGTGGGCGATGATGATCTTATAGTATTAGTAAGTATATTGATGCGTTTCTACTATTCTTATAGATTTAGACACAGCGAGAGGTGGATACAATGATGCTGATGAGAGTCTACCTCAGTCGTTTATTTGCAAGTAATGAGTGATTTAATTATCTTGAGTTGCAAATAGATGGGTGGAATTAACTCTTATTGCCTTTAATAATGTAATTTTAGTTTGTTGTTTTAGTTTGTTTTTCTTTCTTGTATTTGCTATGACAGTTCTTAATGAAATTATCATTTAATTTCCATTAAAAAAATAGCATCCATCAGACGCAATGTGCTCTTTAATTTGGCGTTCGTTGTATTCGATATATTTCCATCACTACAAAAAATTATTACAATAGAGATGGAAATTAGAAACGGCCTAATTATATTTTTAGAGATAAGTTTAATTTAAAATAATATTTTAAAATATAGAGGCTGATTTAGGGACGATTTATATATATCTCTAAAAAAATCCATCTCAACTGCCCTCATTATTTATTAAAAAATTATTTTAAAAAAATAAAATATTAGAGACAAGTTTAGAGATGAATAAACTAGCCATCTTCAAATAAGTCCCTAATATTAATTTTACATTTTTTTAAATTTAGAGACTAAATTTGAGACATATTTTTTTATGAATTTAGAGACAAAAATTTAACCATCTCTAATTCCCTCTCTATATTTTTTTAAAAAAATTTCATAATTTTATTTTTATTAATTTAGAGACAGAATTAGAAACAACTTAAATAAATATATTTGAGATGAAATTATTTTTATTTCTCAAATGTATCTCTAATACAAAGTAGAGATAGATTCAGATATGGAGTCATGTTTTTAATTTTTTTTAATTTTTGGATTATTAATTATTTTAATACGTGTTTGAAATATGTTAAGATGGAAATTAATTTTAAAAGATAAAGAAAACATTTCATCATTGTTTAGCGAGCTTCCCACTAAATGCGAACAACAAAAATTTGAGATTTCTGTTCAAAAATATTTATCTTTAAAATTTATAGAGTATTTAAAAATGTTTTGTACATCATTTAAATCTTTCTCTTCTTCTTTTCATCTTTCTCTAAATTTAATCATTCTCATTTTTTGAATTTCTATTTCTATAACTATAATTGATTGAATTTTTTGTCTCTTTTGTATTATTCATATTTTCCTTTAGTACTTTTATAATGTTTAATAAATTTGTACCACATACCAAAATTGTCTTGAAAGAAATCACTAATAATATTCTATAACAACACATTAAAATAAGAAAATAAAATCAAAACTCCAAAACATCAATGAAATTGAATATTAAGAAGAATTAATAAAAATACATTTAAAATGACTATAAATAATATTTATATGACAAGAATTAATTATTTTAGTACAAAATATCATTTTTAATGCTAATCATATATGTGTGTGAATAATGTTCATTTTTAGCATAGGAAGGAGAAAATAAAAATAAATTTTGAAGTATATAAAAAATAATTATTTTATCGATATATAGTATAACATAAAATTATATAAATAAATTAATATTTATTTTCTTAAAAATATAATAAAGTATTAATATATATATAACATATTTATAATATTTATAATTTTAAATTTGTTCCATATTAAATAAATTTGATAAAAAAATAATTTTTAAATACAAAAATTCATATGAATATATTAAAATTAAATATTTAATTTAAATATTTTTTATTTTAAAAGCTACGAGTGTTCATTGAAAAAATTAAAAATGGTTCAAAATGACAATTAAAAAAATTATATAATTAAAGTTAATTTTTTATTAAAATAATTTTAAAAATAATTGGAAAATTGTAGATAAAATTTATTTGTAAGAAAATAATGAGAAACATTTAACCATGTTGGGGGAAGATAAAAATTTAATCATTTATTTATTAATTTTTAAGAATAATGTGGAGGAGGTAAAAGTAAAAGATATTTAATATAAACTAAAATAATACATATTTTTAAATAAATTAAAACTTAATTATTTTCATTTGACAAATAATATTTTTCTGTTAAAATTTTTTGCCTCATTTTAAGTTCATTTTCCTAATAAAAATAATATTTTATTAAAAATATAATATAAATAGTCATATAAATAATTTTATCATATTAAAAATTGAAAATAATATATAACATATGTTTATCTTTTTAATAATATGTTATTTTATAATGTAATTAATTAACATATATTTATTTTGGATATAATAATTACAGATACATTTTAATTCAACTAGCAAAAAAGAGGACTTAAACCTTGGAAGGTAAAAAGTCAAGGAATCAAATCTTGACTTTAACATATTTTGTAACAAATATGTGATGTGGGACATGGTGGCGGCTGACATGGCATAAGGTAGCGACGTGACGTGTGATGTGGCATCAGTTGACCCACACATGGGCAAGGGAAGTGTGTGTGCATGCATAAGTGGCTGGCGAAATGTCAAGTGACGTAGTATCAATTGATTCACACGTGGCAGGTGACGCGGCACTTACATGGTAGGGGAGACTTGAGGAATTTAGTATTCATTTTTTAGAGACTATTTTATCCCGTCTATAATATTTTATATAATTTTTAAAGAATTTTATAGCAACAGATTTTTCATGAAAATTAGATATGGCATTTTTTATTCAAAGATAAAATAAATCTGTCTTGAATCAACGATGGCTTAAAAAATTCATCTCTAATTATTTAGGACATCCCTTTTTGAGACATCACAATGTTTGTCTCTAAGTATGTTTCTACTTATTTAGAGAAAATTTTTCACTAGTTAGAAATGAATTATTGGGCATCTTTAAACAATATTTTTTATAGTGTGTTAATCTCTCTCTCACACACACACAAATGTATTTCTTGTAACTTTTTAGTCTTATTATAAACTAAATAAGTTTCCACAAAAATCGAGAAAGGGAAAAGGAAATCAAACAATTTAGGGGTTTTTTGATGTATTTGGTAATGTAAATTGAATTTACTTGATGGAGAATGGCAGAGATGTTGGAAATTGTACCCTAGGACCAATCATTATACTATGCATATTGTTATTTAATGAATTTCTCTTTTATTATCATAACAATTGCATGTTCAATATGATAACTATATCTTTGGACAAACTATAGTGATCATCCTAAATATTCCTGGTCGATCATTTATGAGGGATCATAGATGAAACAAGACTAGTATGACTTTGATTAATTATAGAGATACAAATCAAAGTCATAGGCACTTGAAAGAGTATAAGGTGCTAGACCGACCCGTTATGAGAAAGCTGCATGGTACAAGTCATAAGCTTATCTCATATGTAACTGTATCACGAAGCCTTTTGACCTGAGATCATCATGGATTCCTATATAATGACCACTAAACTTTGACTTATTCAAAGGTAACCTTTGATCGGATGATTATAAAGGCTATGATTGAATTGGGTAGTTATAATGTCTTGCTAGAGGCCACTTGTGACTTGTGGGCTAATAACGCTATTAGCCTACTGTCAATTTCATATCGACCTACAGGGTTGTACACAATAACAGCCCAACTTGAGCTATAATGTCTAAGTTCATTGAATCTAAAATATGTCTAGATTTAAAAAATGTAATATAAGGTGCATGAATTACAAATATATATATTTGAATATTTATTTGATAAATATTTATATTTATATATATATTTATATGAAATATAAAATTCAAAATATAATTATATATATATTTTTTCAAAATATATATTCATATATGTGTGTGTATATATATCAAATATATGTATATGATATATAAAATTATATATATATATATAATATTTTTGAAATACATATGTATATATATATTCGTATATATATAATATAATATGTATATATAATATACATTATATTATATTATGTTAGTTTTAAATTTAATTTTATATGATAGATTAAATATGATAACTAACATGATATGAGAGAATATTATATCAGTTTTATAATTTAAATTTATAAGATAAATTTAAATTAGATGTGATATCATAAATTAAATTTATGAGATAAATTTAATTATATTTTCGTGAGCCTTTTAAGTGAAAGAAGAAAACCCTTAACTATATACTATATATAGATAGGGACGTCCTTTATAAAGGATGAGAGAGTTAAAAAAGTTCTAACCGCAAAAACACTTTAAAAGCCACGAAACATCCTATAGAAAGAAAAATAATAACATTCAAAGAAGAACGGACGCTGGGAGCGTTAGCACGCTGTCCGAGTTAGAGAACTATTTGTGTAGATACTGGTAGAGGGAGCAGATCTACGTTATCATCTCCTGAGATCCAAACTCTTGAAGAGAACGTGCACCAAGTTCGAAGAATTAAAAAGTAACTCTTTTATCCACCTTAACTAACAAGTTCGTTTGGTCCATATCAGAATAAGGACTTTAAAATTTTAATCTTTCGTTGTGCATCCAATAGGAGGTGGCTTACAAGATTTATTATTAGGTGGCCTTAGTTTAGAAGGAAGAATGAAGGAAAAAAAAACATTCTTGAAATATGCGATGACAAATAAGTACGTGAAATATTGTGGTAATTACTTTGTAGCAATGTTTTCAGAACCGGACCGGACATTGAATCGAAAAAGTCAGCAGTTCACGGTTCGCATGGTTCAACCAGTTAGACCATTGGTCCAACCGGTGACGTAATAATTAAATTAAAAAAAATTATATATGTATATAATAATTTAAATATAAGAAATACATATGAAATTGCTATTTAACTTAAAAAAATTAAATATTTTAAGTTTATCACGACTTAACAAGCCATATGATACAATATAATATCAAATAATTAAAAAAATTAGTCATTTTTTTTAAAATTTGATAAAAAATAAAAAAAAAATTTGAACAGTCCAGTTTTTGAAAATCGGATCTGGTTCCCGGTCCGACCGTCGATTTAAAACAGCTCAAACCGGCTCAACTCTTAAAACAATTTTTTTCTTTGAACCAGACCGAAAACCAGATCGGTCGACGGTCCGACCGGCCGGTCCGGTTCGGTTTTCAAAATAGTGCTTTGTAATCATATTCAATTATCTGTTATTTAGTTTTAATGTGAAAACTTTTTACGTCCCAGAAAAATAAAAGAAAGATAGATAAACTTCATAACATTTCACTTTTATGTTTTCGTCATTTTTTCAAACAAAAATAGTCAATTTCAAATCTTAACTTGTCGTTGAATTTTAATAGCTGGACTTTACTAATAAATAAATTTGCAGAGACACA